CAACGATCCACACGGCCAGCCCCATGGAAATGACTCGAAACGGTTTGGTGGTCATCGCGAGGTACCCAAACAGCGGGGTCGAGAGGGCGTTGGTAGTCACAAACGATGATGACAGAAGTCCAAGCAGCGCGCCAGGGTCGGTGGTGTTGTGAGAGACTTGGATAAAGTATTGGAACTGGGCTGGAGCGCCAGTAGTGATGGCTTGGTCAAAATCGCCGAAAAAGCTGATTGTAAAAACCAAGGCGAATATCCATGGCGGCATCGTAGTGGACGGCATTGGCTCAGACGGGGTTGCTCGACTTGACTGTCAGGATTAGATTTGTTAAGTGAGCCAAGTCCAATTCATTTGTGACAACGCAAGATATATATATCCATCGCACGCCCAACATGTGGTCAAATATCAACACTCCGAACCACAAACGTTCTTGCAAAAGTGAATGCATTCTGGTCGAGGAGGGGATCTCACAACAGCAGCAGAGGGAGGAGTGATGTACTGTGACCCGAATCGGGTGTGCCCTCACACTATACGTATAAATAATCACTAAATTACATAAATTATACGTATTGCGATTGTATAGTAAGGCTCACATATAAATCACGGGTGTCTCTTCGATTTCAATACAACGACCAAGTAAAGTATCTAAATTTTTTCGGCGTCGAATGCATCGACGCACAGAGAGAGCTCTGTAGCTGACGAGAGGGCATCTTTTGGACATCCATACAACATATAGTCAACTGGGCCCTGATCGAGTACTTGACTGATCGTGCTGGAGTGCAACCATATTTTTTGGTCGTGATGCAATGCAATATCCGGAAGTTACTTCGTCAAAAGGTTTTTTGGATTGGCTCACTATACTCTATACTAGTACTACGTACTGTACTACGTATTAATAGTACTTCGAAGTATTTATTTACTAAGGGTGCGTCTGGTAACCGGAAATATTGCAATATTCAGGCCCAAAACGCCATTTTGGGGTCGAATTCAACAAATCTGATCAAAATTGAAATAATTCTTGCTGGAAGAGATTTACAGTTAACTCAAATCTAATAATTCCACGTGGGATTTACTCGTTGAAGAGGTCCAAAATGTCATGTCTGTATGTATTACAAAACGGACCTTTTACCTCCATTTGCGAGAAAATGGAACATTATTTTTGAAATGTTACCAGACGCACGCACCCTAAATCTAAATACAAAAAGAGAGATAATACTTGTTGAATGGCTAGTGTGTAGGTGGAATAACCAGGTCACCAGACTGTATGGATGTCGACGGGGTTTCAGAGTTTCAGCGATGAGTATTCATTCGCGAACAACTCAAAGATCTGCGCTTCGACTTCGAGGGCCGTGATATTGTAGCTCTACACCACCGGGCTCAAATCTTAAATGCAAAGCTCTTGTGCATGACCACCCACGGAAGTCACGTCGTTCGTTGGGGGAAGTGGAGTTCATAACTACAATATAATGCCACTACCACGAACGAAGTGGACTCCACGGACTCTATCGTAGGACGTGATTTTCGTCACGGTTTTGCACAAGAGATTATTTCATGTTAGTCCACTTGTGATAACTTAGTGGATTCCACTACGTCGACTGCATGGCAAGAAAATCACAGCACTTAACCCTTCGTGAGAGCCATCCGCATCGACACTCGGGTCATATTCCGTTTGCACTCCTACTACTATGCACGAGATCCACAGGGCGACCATGACGACGACCACTACGGTGCGCGCACCGTGGTCTGATGGGCTTAGCATGTTTGGGTTGTACAGTACATGTTGAGCCCATCGGACCGGTAGCGCATGCAACCATCGAGGGTGTCTCGGCAATAGCCCTGTGGATCTCGTTCATGTTGAGCCACCCATTGACCATAACAAAGTTGATATTGACGATTTCGTAGGTATGCAACGTTGTTGATGGAGCTGACGATAGCATCCATGACAGTGGGTAACTTCCAGAGCTTGTATCCTTGAACAAATTCATTTGTTGGTGACCCTGTGCAGCACGCGTTGCTCAAGTCCACAGTTATTGGTTGACTGACGAATAGGCGAGTTGTATGATGATCTCCTTAGTCAAAGTCTGTCCAATTGGAAGTAATTGCTACATTCACCACTCACAACATTATGATTGCCTCATAGTACAGTATATGCCGCTTCAATTGTAGCGATGTACACTATCTACATAGACTACACCCTCGATAGCCTATCTGAACACAATATGAATAACAGTATGCCTGGAGGTAGCATTGAGATGCTGTGGAGTTGGAGGTGGTGTTCACGTGGGCTGTCGAGGGTGTACACCATGTAGGTAGTGCTTATTCCTACAATTGTAGCGACATAAACTACCGGTATGAGGCGATCATAACGTCCTGAGTGGTGACTGCAGCCTCGACTTCCTAGACTCAGTACTAGTAGTATACCTCACCACTCGATTCCAAATTGATAGCATATTTGCATATCTTGTTGTCGTGACCATCCACTCCAAGGCACCCATGTCTATGGCACCATGGACAGTCGTCATTTTGTATTATGTAAGATCTTTTCGTCTATGGCCAACCCTGTCACCATCATCCCGATGATGGTCATGCCGTAACCGAATTTGCGTACATCCTGTCAATGAAAGATGCTGTCGCGGTGTGGAAGGGAGAGGACATCATCGTCATCTTTCATAAGTAATGAAAGCAGATCTGCTAATGCTATTGGTGAAGATGGGGACGATGTCAACCGCCTTCCACGCCGCGACGGCTTCTTCCATCGACGGGTTGTAGCCAGACGTAGACCTCCAACATATGATGTGGTAACCCTTGGTGCCGTCGGGTTCAAATTCGTCTGGCTTGGTGGGACACACATTGCGTGCACTTGAGCTGCTTGTCGCCAGCTTTAGTTGCGCGTTTTCATTGCGGCACGTGTGAAAGATATCGGTATGACTGCTATTATAGTGCACGCATCTATAAACTACCAACTTTTCACAAAAAATTCTGACTTCTATTTCATATTCATTACTCATAATTTCAGCAAATTGAGACGTAGAATCGACAGATCTCAATAATGTGGCTTGGATATTTGGCCATAGGGATTTGACCAGTTTTTTACCGTTTTGTGACCACCCGACGGCAAAATACAGGGCATCATATTTCCACCAATAAAACGCATGTATTTGAGCACTGACACTTACATACCAGTACTGTACTGACACTTTGCTGGAATGGCTCTTAACGGGCGGGGTGCGAACTTCACCACTGACGAGGACTGCCAGCTTGTTCGTTCGTGGTTGAACATATCCCAAGATGAGTCTAAAGGGAGCGGGCAAAAGGCCGAGCAGTTTTAGGCCCGCGTGGTTGGAAGTTTTTAGATGACGTGCACCATACCTATTTGAAAAAGTTGAAAAAACAAACTACCATACACGTGATGGAACCCACAATCTTCTGTGTGGAAGGCTAACGCTCTACGAGTTTCCCTGTTTGGGTTACATGTATAATAGTTACAACTGGAGGACACAGGAATAACAATCCAGTCAAAAACCTGGGATTCTGGATCCACTCCAAGAGGCGATCGCTGCCTGCACATATAACTTGGAGATTTGATATATCCTCTAACATTCGATGAGGCGTCCAACGGAGTGTTGGTATTTGACCTGGACAGGTGTTCGACAGATACTTCGAAGTACTACTGTAGTACATAATACTGCCATCATTTGAAAACCCACTTGTTCCAAATTACTGCCATCACTCGTACGCCTTATGATTGGCTCAGGACATTGCTTTGCTTTGATTATTCGTCTGAAAAGGATACACATGGCGTTGATTTGATTAGTCGTATGAACCCATAGTTTCCTGAAAAGGAAAACTATGGGAAAACGTTCAAGAAATATGGATACCGTTCAGCCAAAAACCGTTTAAGCAAATTTTCTTCCCGTAACCCTGTAACCCCGGGACTTCGTCCAACCCCCGCGTGCACATACTTCGAAGTTAATGCTAAATCCCCGGGGTTAAGCGCATCTAACCACTGAGATACGACGCATCTAACCACTGAGATACGACCCCTACCGTTCAACCAAGACTGAAAACCGTTCTTACTTCTATTTCGTATTCATTACTCAAAATTTCAGCAAGTTGAGACGTAGATCTGGTGAAGAAATTCTACGCCTCAGATTCATATTTGGTACTCACATATTGGCGATTAAGTTACTTACCCTGTTTTGGTCACGACTAACCGTGAAAATCGGACTGTGAATCACGGAAAAACGCGAAGGAGTATTTGGTCACCTCAAGTCCCGTAATTTTGAAATATATGATGCACGTCATCTAAAAACTCCCAACTGGCCAAATAGAAGAGTGGAGGTTTTATTATTTAACGTACAATTAATGTAGTTAACAGTAAACACAAAAACCAAATACGTTAAATACCGGCTTCATGCGTTTTATCACTGTCCTTTTGGACGTTTTGTGCTGAATCGCCAAATCTATCGATCGATTCGTTTTACTGAATTTTGTACTAACGTTACATATAAAAAGGTATTGGGTGGTGATTGGTATCACACTAATTGAAATCATACTAATCATAACGTTATAGTTAAACATACATTGATGATGTTTCCTGCAATCAGACTGGCTAACCCCTTCTGGCCGATTCTTTTGTACAGTGTACCGTACATTTGGTGGTGTCGATTCATTCTCCAGTTTACAGACTGTTAGAATAAACACAAATATAGTAGTCAGTTTGGAATTCACCACTACAGTAGTTAATCAACTGCCTCTCTCTCCAAACTGTCGTTGCTACCCAGAAGCAAAACATCAGCTCCAGCCTTCTGCGACAGTATCTGTGGCAAGCCCACCAGTTAGCGAGTTACTAGGCGGAGTCAATATAGAAACCAAACTGCTTTTCGCATTTTGCTTTTCGTTACGAAAAGCAAAAGCACCTCACGAGTAGCTTTTCAAAAACGAAAAGTGAAAAGCAGAACATAAGCCAATCAGCGTGAAGATAGTGATAGCCAATCAAGATGCACATAACTACTGGTCGGTTGCAAAGTCCAACACACAGCTATGGAGAGGTCGAAGCGCGCCGCAACCTCACGGTCGGAGCGTACAGCGATGCTCGAGTTTCTGCGCATACTCAAGAACTTTGCGCTGCTGACTGGGCAGGCCACCAAAGGCAAACCAATGAAACGGGGTGAAAAGCTGACTCGGTCGCATGGCCTGGCAAGGCTAGCGGAGTACGTAAACGCGGTTGTGCTAGCTGTGCGTCCGTGGAACACACAGAATGCCAAATCAAGGTACATCTCGATATATGGAGCGGGCCGAGCAAGAGTGGTCATGGCTTGTCTGACAAGGACTTCAAAAAGAGTACATATTTGAAGACGAGATGTTTCCGTCCTGATATAATGTAGCGATCTACACCATCGAGAGCAAATGGAGAGCATTTGTCCATTCTACAACGAGATGCATGCACTCATTGGGGCACGGCAAAAATTTCGACCGTCGCACATTGTGGAAACGAGTTTTGTGCAACTACCCCATGCACACAAGCAACCAAGACGACCGTGAGGCCCACGACGATCCCGACCATGATGCCTAGTGGACAGAGAACGATGTGGAGGACCCCGGCCGCCCCACAAACACCCTGAACAACTGCCGCGGACAATCGGCATACCAGCAGCTCTCCCATCTCTGGCTGCGGGCAATCCCAAGGCCAAACCAACCACCCCCCGCCAGTTCGCGGATCTCGAAAAACGGCTCACCCCGCGCAAGGACTTCTACATGGACACGCAGAGTTAAGTGACACAGCTCGAACGGGAAGAGTTCGAATACATGAAGGAGAGTGACAAGGCCGCCCGCGCGGCAGCTGCAGTGGTAGACATGCGCCAAGCCAAGTCGTCATTGATTGAAAAGCTTGTAGCATCAGGGGAAGTAGACACAGAAAAAATTCGTGACCTTGAATCGATTGCCTTCGATGAAGTATAAAATATCTGACATAAAGAGAAGTGAACTCGACTTGCAACTCAACTAATTTTGCTTGAAATTAACTCAAACCTAAAGAGCTCAGCAGTTCGGATTTAATCTTCACGCCAAATGGGGGAGCTCCCGATAACTGGGGAATCGGATATATTGCCTTGACGGATTTCTTCAATGCACAACGGCACGTGATCTTCGCCATTTCGAACGCGATTTACTACATTGTGAAGGACGCAGCAGGCCAAAATCCAATCGCACATGATCTTGACGTCGCCGCACCGGCGAATGAATACTGGAAGACACGACAAGCTAGCCCAGCGGCCTTTGAGAATTTCATTGCCATGCTCACATACCATACTGAGGCTTGCATGTCCAGTGTTGAATGCGTTGTTACCGCTTTTGGCGGCGTAGGGGAGCCCGTTGGGTGTGAGCATGCGCAAACAGAAAGCGAAGCCAGAGTCGTCGGCTTGGTATTGGTTGTCATCGAAGAAGCTGTCCGGGTGGCGAGCAGGGGGTAGGGCGTGAGCATGCGCAAACAGAAAGCGAAACCAGAGTCGTCGGCTTGGTATTGGTTGGCATCGAAGAAGCTGTCCGGGTGGCGAGCAGGGGAAGACGAGGCCCAAACTGTCGAATCATGCACGCTGCCAGGCCAACCCGCGACGACATGGCAAATCTGACGGTTATAGGCAAATGTCAATAGAACATTCATTGAATATTCCTTTTTTCTGCTGCAATACACCTCACCATGGAGAGCTGGTTTTCGGTATAATACAATATGTGTGCCATCAGTTGACAGAATACGGTTACGAAATCCATATCGCTTGGCATTGTACTGGCTAAGTTGGCTATGCTTGTGCGATTAGGCCACATTATTTCCAAACTGGATAAAAAGAGAAGAGCACATATAACACGCTGAGTGTACAAATGCACAGTTCCCATTCCAATTCATTTTGCACGTGACACCATCCCAGCCGACGAACCAGTTTGTTTGAGGCCAAGTCGATGCAATGCACTCTAAGCTGGACGCACACAGGTCTCTGAGCTCGGTTACTGGTCGGTTGAAAGACATTGTTCCTCTCAATCAACTCAACCATATATGCAAATGTAGCCTGACAAACACGGACCTCCTGAACAAAGTCGTCAACAGCCATGAAGGGCAGAATCGAAAGTTGCTCTAAGGAGCGTGGAATCGACCCACGTGCAAACATGTATCGCGAACATAAAATAGTGTATCGCAGTCGAAGTAGCACATCAATGTCTTTCTTAGCCGCATGTGAAGCAGAAGTATTGCATGTTGCAATTGTCCGTACCATGCTGTCCAAGTCGGCAAGGACGGCCGCGCGTGGCATTTTTGCCAATGCAAATATACGGATACGGATGGCACATGCACAAGAGATCGTTGGCCTGTGCAGGTTTGCTTTTCAGAATCCGGGAAAATCAAAATCCGACGGAAAATTCCCAAACTGACTCCCCCTATTGACTCCCCCTACTGGTGTGGTTTTCGTAGCACCACATTTTGAACTCGGACAATTTATGCGTTCATATTAGCCGTCTGAAACCAGCACTGTTTCTGTCCATGGTCACTGGTGTCTACCAGTACCACGTTCAATATCAGGACCACGCACTACCACCCCTCTGGTCCTCATTGAAACGTTCTTTGTTGCTTGGACTGCCTTAATGCGATCGTGGCTCTATCGTTTGCCATCCGACTCGCCGTGCTTTGGTACTTGGTGTGTCGACTTCTACTTTCCCAGTCGCACAACTCGCAATGTGAACAAAAATCCTCAGTGTTTTGAGCTTGGACGACGTTACATACCATTCCATCAGCGCCGTCATGCATGTCATTGGTTTTACACTTGAGCAATTACCGCAGTGCTGTCGTGATTATTCCACAAGTCTCACCGTGGTCGAGGTCAAATAGGTGGCGGCTTTGTTCCATAGCTGTGACGTGAGAAGTATCACTGATGGCAGCGAATTGCCCTTGCATAGCTACGATCTCCCGTCGCGCTTCCCTTCGTAGTACTGTATGGGGCCCACCAGCTTGCTGGACTGTACATCATTCCTCCCCCTTGCTATTGTTGTACTGTACAGTATGAATTCGTTGACATCCTTGACATCCATCGAGGACGAGACGTTGAAGCCACCAGACGTAACCAACTGAATGATGCCGCAGTCTGTCGTAGTCATGAATATCTCCCACTTCCCGTACTCGAGTTGTCCCAGCCTTTCGGAATTTCGATTTGTTACCACGTTGAACACTTCGCTACGTTTGCTTCCCCCTAGCAACAGCATGGGGCCGCACCAGTGTGCTGGACTGTACATCACTCCTCCAGCTGCTGTTGTTGTGTCCACCGGAATGCATTCACTTTTGCAAGAATGTTTGGGTACGGAGTGTTGGTATTTGACACTTGTTGGGTGTACGATAGGTATACATTTGCCTTGTCACAACTCACCACGAATGAATTGGAACTTGGCTCACTTATCAAAGCTCATCCTGTCAGTCAAGTCGAACAACCCCTTCTGAGCCAATGTCGTCCACTACGATGCCGCCGTGGATATTCGTCTTGCTTTGTACAATTAGCTTTTTCAACGACTTTGACCAAGCCATCACTACTGGCGCCCCAGCCCAGTTCCAATACTTTATCCAAGTCTCTCACAACACCACCGACCCTGGCGCGCTGCTTGGACTGCTGTCATCGTCGTTTGTGACCACGTACGCCATCTCGATGCCGCTGTTTGGGTACCTCGCGATGACCACCAAACCGTTTCGAGTCATTTCCATGGGGCTCACCGTGTGGGTTGTTGCCGTGGCCTTGTCCAGCGTTTCCAAGTCCGCCAACAGCTTTGAGCTTTTGCTCGCGGGGCGATTCCTCAGTGGTGTTGGAGGAGCGTCGTTCCAGTGCATTGCACCCACCTTCATCAACGACCACAGCCCGAGCAGTGTCCAGACGTTGTGGTTGGGTGTATTCATTATGTCGGCTTGTCTGGGATCGATTGCGGGCGGAATCGCGGCATCGATGATGTCTGCGACTTCTTGGGGCTGGGACTCGTTGTTCGCCATGGAGGGGCTAGCGATGTTGCCGTTGCTTTGCCTTTGCCGTTTTGGCATTCCCGACGAGTTCGATCGGATCAGCAGCGACGTCACCAACGAATCCCAAAGCCTGTTGGCGGAGAATGATTCCGCGGCCCCAAAGTCGTTTTTTGGTGAAGTGTGGGGAGTTTGTAGCAACGCAGCGTTTGTGTGGCTGACGCTTGGGTTGGCAGCCGTGGTGTTTTCTGGTTCTGGGTTGTCCATGTTTACAACGCTGTTGCTGATTGGCGTTGGCGTGTTTTCATCGGAAACTGAGGCCAATCTCATGTTGGGATCCCAAGGAAGTAAGTACTACTAGTGCTCTATACAACCGGAATGTGATTTGTGCTAATAACGAACCCTGACTTGTAGTTGTTACAATGTTTGTGGGCACCTTCCTCGGGGGCGTGCTGCTCGATTGGACGAGCCGCGGGGCAGCTTACAAGCGACAATACTTTGCGATTCGTCAAATGGTGCTGGGATTCCCAGTCGCTGCTGGAGTCGTGCTCCTGTCCGTGGCTGCTTTGCCCGACAAAACGTGGTACTTGGTGTGGCATGGACTCTCGACTGTAACTTTCAGTGCCATGTCGCCGGTCATGATGACCGCCGTGTTTCACACTGTACAGCCGTCTCAACGATCCCTCGCTGTTGGTTTGAAGTCTCTTGTGCTGCATGTGCTCGGGGATGTTCCCGCCCCCATCGTCATGGGCGTGGTCAAAGACACTTGGGCGCCTCACTGCAACAGCGTGCTTGTCGACGGTGTCGTAGTGCTCAACCCAGAGTGCCATCAAGACAAGGATGGACTCATCCAAGCCTTGCTGTTTCCTTTAGTGTGGATGGTTTGGGCCATTACGTGCTTTGGAATTGCCTTGTACTACGCTCGAAGGACTATGCTCAAGGAAAAAAGTGCTGCACTGTGTGTTGCTTCAAATTGATAAACTAAGCACTGCACTTTGTACTTCTTCTACTATACTAGTACAACCCGAACTCCTTGGCGATGTTGATTGCCCCTTGTTACTACACAGACAGTGCCACTTTATAGATACACTCTTAGCGTTTGCTTCCCCCCGCAAAAGTATAAGGCCCCATCAGCTTGCTGGGGTGTCCATCACTCCTCCCCCTCGCTGTTTGCTAGAATTCCCCTCCTCGACTTCACTTTAGAGTTAGCAAGAATGTTTGTGGTTCGATGTCCGACGGAGAGTTGGTATTTGACCTGGACATACTGTATGTACGGCAGATACACTATTAATAGTACAGTACTTCGAGGTACTAACTAGTATTACTCTACTGGTAGCTTGTGACAAATCACCTCAAATGCATACTAATCTTACCCGGTACTGTAGTACAGTACTTTCGCAGGTTATTTACCGAAACCTCTTACGTA